TCGCAGCCCACCATTCACGCGATCCCTCTGATCCAACCACTTTGCTGTGTTGATGCATCCCCGTCCCTTGCCCTCAGATCCACATCGCTCACGCTCTCACACGCGGATCCGATCTGCCTCGTTGTCGGAGCACCCGCTCCCCGCCGATCGTTTCCAGCCTCTCTTCCTCTCCCACTCGATTTTTTTTTTTTTTTTTTTTTGATTCCTTACCCAGTCTATGGTCCAAGTCAACCGCCTGGGCCCAATACTCCACCACTTTCTCATTCTCTCGAGACATGGTTCCTTCCGTCCAGTGCATTCCAATTATTATTTGATCGTAGGCCCTGTTTTTCGATCGACAGGCAAAGAGGTATGATTTGCTGCTGCCGTGATCTGTAGTACCTCGACGCTGTGGTTGAAGGCCCTAGCTCACCTCTTTACATGAAAGCTTCCGTCTGTGTGCGACGCAAACTCAGAGCAAAACTTAGTGATACGGATCGATACAGCATGCAGAGAAGGTGAAGCAAGTCCCAGTTAGTATAGTGGCTAGTATCACCCCCTGTCACGGGGTAGACCCGGGTTCAATTCCCGGACTGGGAGCTTCTATTTGGTCTTTACTTGGGCCAGGGGAGACGTCTTGCAAATGTGGCAACTCCATTGTTCATGGTTGATGTACAAGTTTTGTGATCGCACCCGCCTTACTGAAGTCATCTTTGTATTTGGAGAAAATGGGAATCAAACGCGCATGGCACCAAACAAAGACCTCTGACGGTTCCAACTCCAACCAGAATAGTCTGAGTCGTTAATGACGACAAAGAAAAGTGAGCAACCTAACTTCGGTCGGCCGGGAAGTGGAAGGGTTAGGGAAGCGAAGGCGGCAGCAACAATAAGCACTCCCGCGCCAACACTCTTCTCGATCTCACGTTGGCCCTTCCAGTGGTGCAAACTGTCCAAAGCCAGCCGAGTCTCTTCTCCCCACTTTCGTGACAAGTCCTAAGATCCCGCGCGCGATCGGTGGACCGACGTTCGAACGAACGAACGAACGACGACGATGATGGCTTCGCCCGATCGCACACGGGGCCCCGATGCTGCTGCTGATGTTGCCGCCGCGCACAACGCCGAGTTTCTCGCCGCCGCCGCGTACGCCTCGGATCCGGCCAACAAGGCCGTCTTTGGATCCGACACCGACACCATGCTGCGAGTGCGCAATCGTGCCCTTCACCCTCCTTCCTCATCCCGTTCCTTGCGGTCGTGCAAACGCCCTTGAACACCGGAATTGGAGTCTTCTACTTTGCCCTTCTCCTTCTCCTCCTCCTCCACCTCCTCCTCTGACGCTGGCCCCCTCCCATTCTCCCCACTCCACTACCCGCAAAACCCAAAAAAAAAACCACGATGAAACACTTTCAGCTTTACGGCCTATACAAGGTTGCAACGGTCGGATCCATCGACGGAGACGGTGAAGGCGAGGTGGGGCGAAAGAGGCCGTCGGCTCCCGCGTGGCACGACTTCGCGGGCCGTGCAAAGGTTGCGTTTGTTGCGTTTTCACCCTATCGCGAGCCATTTGCACGCTGACGCAAACACACAGTACGATGCGTGGAAAGCGGCGAGCGCGGCTGCGGGCGGATCTCGCGCCGCCGCGGCCGCCATGTACATGGACGCCGTCGAGAGCCTGTCCCCGTGGCGGCGCGGCGGCGACGACGCATCCGCCGTGCCCGCCCCGTCGTCGTCGTCTTCCTCTTCCTCCTCCTCCACCGCAACGCACGGTTCCCGCGCCGCCGCCGGCAACGACGACGACGGCGAAGACGACGGCATCGACTACGACCGCCTCGACGACGACGACGACAGGGACGAAGCCGGTGCCGGCGGTCGGACGAAAACGTCGGTTTTTGGCGTCGCGGTGTCGACGCTGGCGCACGCGGAAGACGACGACGACGGCGAAGTCGGCGGAGACCGTGTTGCCGAGCTGTCTTCGTTTTTCACCGCCGTCCGCGCCGGCGACGTTTCTGCTCTGGACCGGATCGCGGGTAAGGTGCGGGAAGACGCCGTTGGAAGGGAGGGCGGCGACGCGGAAACGGCGCTCTCGACGTTGGTAAATATGCGAGAAGGCGACGCCGGTGACGAAGAGAACGACGGGAGCGGCGGTGGTCTCTGCGCGCTGCACTGGGCGGCGGACCGTGGGCACGCGGCGGTGGTGCGGTGGCTGGTGGAACGAGGGGCGACGGTCGACGCGCGGGACGCGGACGAGGCGACGCCGCTGCATTACGGTGAGCGTGTTTTCACTTCGTTCGGTTTCATTGCTTCCAAGGCCAGACGCGACGCGAAAGCACTCTGAACGCAACGGTCCTCGACTTTGCAGACTTTCTCATTGATGTGTTCCGTACCCCCTGTTGCCACCCTACCACCCAGCTGCCATCGCCGAGTCGCGAGAGGCCATCGATGCTCTCCTCGCGTGCGGTGCCGACCGCACAGCAAAGAATGCGGACGGGGAGACGCCACAGGACGTTGCTCCCGCTCTATTTACAACTCCGTAGGAAATTTGGATCTCTCTTGGTTCTCCAAAAAAATTCCACAATGGGCATGCACGAAGGCACTGTTGGCCGTGATGGGCACGAGGTTGGAGGAGAATCCAAATACCAGTTAAACGTGATGTAAGTGTACCGAAGGAGCAGATACAATAATGAGTAGGATCTGCTTCTGCAACAGCTGCTTCTCCAAACGGCCCACAGTTGTTCTGAGCACCACCTCCATCGCCTCGGGAGACAAGGAGTGCAAAAAGGGCAGAAATGAAAGTTCTTTGCCACAAGAGCCAAAAACTAGATCAGCCCAACTGCTGACAGTTCTCAAAAAGGAAAAACAGAGAACATTGCCCATCCCATCTTTTGTCACATAGCAATTCCGGCCCAACAGCTGGCAACACTACACTCCAAAAAAGGAGAAATTTGGAAACATGAGGCTCCTCAATGAAGGACAGAGGAGGCAGAGCTCACAAGAAGGGGCGACCCTGTAATCACTGGGAACAAAAGTGCTCTCTCACACCGAAAAAAAAAAAACCAAAAAAACAAAAAATGAGACAAGGCTTTTTTTGTGAATCGAACAGCACAGGGACCTATAGCTCAGTGGTAGAGCGGTCGACTGCAGAGTCTCTCGGGACGAGTCATCGACAGGTCGCCGGATCAACCCCGGCTGGGTCCTTCTTGTCCCCAGAGAGGGAGAAGTGCAGGCTTGGCTCGGGGGTTTTCCTGTGGAAGACAGGAAAGATGACGCCGCAAAGCCAAGCCTTCCTTCTGGTGTAGTTTGACCGCTCCAAAAAATTGTGCCAATGTTTTTGCCACAATGACAGTCTCTGCTCAAACACACTCAATAATTGCAGCACAGACACGAAATTCAGCTCAATTACTCTCAGAGATGTGCTCTATCAGCTGCTTAAGTGCCAGCCGTACTGTACATATTGTCCAAGAGGCATAGTTGAACATGCGACCACTCCATTGGCACAATTTTGTGTGTTGATGTGAATTTTTTATTCAGTAATCTGTGTTCCCTCCCTTTGCCACAATGACTGCTGCAATCCTCCTAGGCATACTTTCAACCAAACTATTGCACATTTCAGCCAGAAAATTCCTCCATTCCGTCCAGATTTGTTCACAAGCTCCAAGTTTGACTTTGGCGCAGCTTCATAGGAATTGAGCATCTGCTTCAAGATATTCCAAGTGTGCTCAATTGGATTGATGTCAGGAGACTGAGAGGGCCATTGCATAACGCAAAATCTATTGCTGTTGGTGTATTTGGAAGTATGCTTAGGGTTGTTTTCCTACTGGAATATAACATCCTGCACTTCGAGATTGCATTTGTTGAGACTGGGGATGAGATTGTTCTCCAAAATTGTCACATATTGCTCAGAGTTCATTGTGCCTTCCACAAAAGCGAACTGCAAGACACCAGACCACGTAATGGCACTCCAAACCATTTGAGATTCACCACTAAACTTTTTCGTCGGTTGAATGTGATGATCATGAAGTGGCTTTCCAGGAATTCTCCAAGCATACGTCATGCTGTCTGATCCCTCCATATTGATCTTTGACTTGTCTGGCCAAATGACATACTTAAAGTCCTCAACTGTCCAGTTTTGATATTGAAGGGCAAACTTGAGCCAAGCGTTTTTGTGTTTTGTTGTCAGGGCTGGCTGTTTCTTCTTCTGTAAATCTTTGAGACCGACCTCTCGGAGCGAGCGCCTGATTGTCTCAGGTGAGACAGTCTCCCCAGTGTCTTTTTCATGCGTCTGGGCCAGTTGCACTGCGGTTTTAGCTTCTCCAGATGCAATTTGCTGAACGAATTGATGCAGGGTGCTTCCTTGGACGTCCAGGTGGAATGCTTTCAATGTCTGGACACTCCACTGCACAAATGCGGTAAACACATTCCCTCCTTCACATTTTCAGCAATTTCGCGGCCTGAGTGGCCTTGGTCAAGGAGATTTAAGATTTTTTTTTTTTCAAGTGGGATGGGTTTCATGTTTTTTTTCTGGAACTGGATGAATCCAACAGGGTGGGGGTTTGCACCAACAAACTCTTCTTTGTATACCTGCTCAAACTGCGGGAAAAGTTTAGTGGAAAATTTATAAAATGGAGATCACGATCTGGATGAACATTTTCCGATCCAAACCCTCAAGAGATCATTTGAATGCCTCAATCTTCCTCTGCTGAGGGCATGCTGCTTCCCCACTTCGATAACACATTTTCACACTATTACCTGGTGAGCACACTGAATTTTGGGAAGAGACCTTTGCTTGTTCACTTGGGAGTGGGTTGGACAGTCAATGAAAAAAATATTGGCACAATTTTGTGAGCCACTTTACCGCAGAGCCGAGCAGTGGTTACGCATTCCAAAAAATGAAGTGAACAGAGCACGGCATAGCACACAACAGTTTCTTGAACAAGAATAGGGTGATCACACATCTACCAGGCAGTTCCCGAGAGGTGAAAGCGTAAAACCATCATTGAGTAACAATTATGATACCATTAGTACAGGCTGCCGTGGCGCAACTGGTTAGCGCGTGCGGCTGTTAGACATGATCAGTACACCGCAAGGTTGGTGGTTCAAGTCCACCCGGTAGCGTATCAGTGAAATGCCGGATATCGGATATCACTACTCCTCAATATTACTTTTTGTTTCATTGCCCAGGATTCAGTTTGCCACCATTTCATTTCCACTTTGCTGCAAAAATCGGTCGCTTCCTTGCACAAATGCCTCCAGAATCTGTACACTTTGGCACAGCCAGCCTGCAGGCACGACCCGGTAGAACCCCAGCTCAGTATCTGTACTCGCCCAGATGTCTGCTTTATTCTGTTTCATTTTTGACTGTTTCTGTCAGAATTCCCTCACAAGGGAAAAAAAAATTTTTTTTTTTTTCCCCTGCCTGGTGCAAACTCTCCAGTACAGACAAAAAAATTGGCAACTCTGTGAGACTACACTGAGGTCTCAGTGATAAAGTCTAGGGATTTTATTCGCAAAATCAAGTGTACCTGTCACAAAACCACAAGGATCAGGACCCTAGTATTATTCCTGGTCCTTTGGTTTCCAAGGAGTTATCAAAGTGTATTTGTGGCTAACCAGTCTTTATTATTGGGACTGCTTTTACTACTTTCGTCTTAACAGTTCTGTTGCACCAGGGTTTTCTCAACATATTTTCTTTTTCGGTGCCTAACAGAGACTGCCTGACTGCCTGGGGATGGGGTGCCTGGCAGGCTGTTCCCCACGCCCACCTAATTTATTATTTATTTTTGGCACTTGTACATACACGCATAGGGTTGGAGGACTTAGAGCATTTGTGGTGGATGCTCCAAGTCAGGGGGGTTGACTTGTCAATTTTCTCTCTCTGTTTTTGGGCCATTTCTCCCTTTCCTTTTTTCTTCAATCTGATTTCTGTCCTTTGGCACCAATACAGAGTCCATTCAAATCCATCTGGCTCCCAAGGTGAGGGTAGTGAGAGATGGTACACACCCAGGTGTGTAAATGGTCACTTAGTGGCTCCTCTTAAGGGGCTGTGGGTGGGGAATGCATAGCCCCACCAGCGCCGGTGAGACATTGCCAGCTCTGTGTTGGATGAGGATCCGCAGTGCTTGCCCAACAGCATCCTTGGAGGATTCTGCCTCTGAATGTTCATTCTTTGTGTTTGAGACCTGTTAGACAGATCAGTAGGGATACTTTGTGGACTAGGCAAGTGTAGGGTTGAAACACCCCCCAGACAACAGCCCAATAAAGTTAGTTATAGCCTATTATTTGCTTTCCTTCACTCCAAGGCCCAGATCCCAGGGTCAAAGGAGTGAGTATAGTCTCACCATTCCTTGTCAAGGCAGAACAAACTGCAGGAGACAAAGGCCTTAGGGCCACCACCAAACTTCCTTGCCCTTCCAGAATGACGGGGAGATGACAAGCTGTCTTTTCTTTTTGGAAAACTCGCAAGAATACAGTTCCCTGTGACAGGTGGCTCACTGGGAATTCCTTTGGCGAAAATTCCTTGTGGTGACAGAAAATTCCTGGACAAGGAACTTTGGAAGGGAAAAATCAAAATGCTTTGCATGGCGCGAGCTCTCTTCTGTCTTCTCTTTTCTGCAGCGGTTGTCGGACATCCAAGAGGATGAAGATGACAGCCTTAGGCCCAAACACAAGCTCTGCCAATGTTTGGTGTGGGTCCAATTTGATTTTGTTTTTCAGATTGGATTGGATTGGATTGGATTGGGTTCGGTTGGGTCAGATTGGATTGCCTGGAGTTGGGGGACTCTTTCAAATTGTGGTCAGGGGTCGGATGGGTCAGATGGGTCATGCAGGACAAACGCAAAAAACGTAATTGCACCACAAGCTAGACCCATGTGGCTGATTTTGTAGGGATTCTGGTTGGTCATTCTACATCAATTGAGCCTGAGTTGAATGGCCTCCATTGAATGTTAATGACAAGGCACTATGACTCGACTGACTGCAAGTGGCAAACCCCTCTTAATCTGGCTATGTCGGATTTGGTCTAAATAGAGTGTATTCTAGAATCTGAATCCCACACAAAGTTTTGAATTTTGCCTTCCCACTCGATTTGCCCTGTGCGAGGCTCCTCACCTGTTTCTCTCCAAACAATCCAGGTGAGGTGAGGTGGAGCTTCACAGAAATTAGAAGTGAGGTGCAGGTCTGGCCCCAGAACTTGCCTTTTGATTCTGGTGGTTGGTGGGATAGGAAAGAAAGAAAAAACACAAAAACTTCTTGTCAGACAGAAAAGAATTGGAGAAACTCCAAACGTGTCACGACCCAAAAGTTCTCCTTCCATCAAAGGAAGCAAAGCCACCCTGTTCTTGAAAAAGGAAGTTTTTTCTCACGCACCTGAGCTTTTGTCTCACTATATGCCCTGAGCAGTCTACTGCTCGCCCAGCTGCTGAGGCCGTCTCTGACAGGGGGTAAGACAGACTACTCAAAAAAGGATTCCAACCAGATTGGCTTCCTTTTTTGCAAATGGTTCCAAAAGCGGCAATTGGTGTTAGGCAGAACTGACTGGTTTGCAGCAAGAGGCACAAGACCGACCGAACCTATTGTGACTGTCAGTTATTGTCCTCACGATGCCCATGGGAGAGTGAGCCACCGCCAATGCAGACCTGGGCACTGGCTTGCCCTGTGCTATCTGGCTGCATCAACCACAGATTCTGGCTCCGAAAAACACTCTTAAATTGGCTCTCTAACGACAACGGCAGGACTCGAACCTGCGCACCCAGAGAGTAACAGATTTCGAGTCTGTCGCCTTAACCGCTCAGCCACGTTGTCGACAGGAATTTAGGAGTGTGACATCAAAACTGTGTGGTCATTTTCTCGGAAAGTAGGTGCTATGCCTCGGCGGCACAGGCACAGCCAGACAACTCTGACAGTACTAGGGGGGATTCAGGATTGCTGTCACTGTGCCGTAAACAGAAAGGCCAGGTCAAAGTCGCTGAGCAAGTCATGTCCTCAGGCTCCTCGCTGCTGGGAGAATCTGGGCTTGGCCCCACCTGGCAAAGCAGCGTAGCATGCAGGACTTCAAGTTGGAGCGTTCTGTGTGCGCCTTTGTGGAGGGGTGGAAACCCTTGGCACACTCTCCAGAGTGCCAGGCTTTGTCACAAAATTGGTCCCAGCCACTGCAGCCTCCAGTTTTGAGTGGGGTGCAAACTTGGCACGCTCTCCAGAGTGCGGGGCCACTACGGCCTCCAGTGTGGAGTATGCCTGCCCCATACATACAGCACACGCAAACCGCTGACAAATGATTTGTGCTCTGTCAATTTAGGCAGAGCATCTATTCCAGCTATGCAACCGCCCTGACCCGATCAGCTTGTCTTTGGAGTGCAGAATTCCCCATCGACAGGGCTTGATCCGCTTTCTGCTCTCACAACTTCTCGGGCAAGCAAGCCTCCACAACACTGCAGGTGCAGGGCGCTGCGGTCCAGTCCCTGGGCAGATATGCTTATCACTGGCTCAATTAAGGTGTCAGTTGGGATCTCGCTTCAGTTAACAGGTTGAACGAGTCCGCACAAAGTGTTGCTCCTACTTTCCATCGCGACAATTGCTGCCAACAAGAACACTTCCTTTCCTTGTCGTGTCGTGACTCGGCTCATCGTCATGGCCAGTGCCGCTGCCGCAGACCTGTCGATCGCCGCGCCAGCCTGGAAGAGGCGGCTTGCGGCCGCCCTCGCTGCGAACAAGGCCGCAGACGTCGGGCCCGTGTACAGTCAGTGTGCTCCCTCTTGTTCTCTTGGTCTTCCGGGTCAAGCGAACGCATTGTAGGGTGCTTTCCCTTGTGGCTGACCTCCCGCTCTTTCCGCTCGTCGAATCTCAGCGTATCTTCAGCTTGCCACAGTGCGGCCAGACGGGCGCCCTGCCAATCGGACCGTCGTGTTTCGCGGATTCTGGGATGCCAATGACTCGCCCGGCGGACTATCCTCTGGCATATCCTCGTCGTCATCACCGTTCTCCTCTACTTCGTCGCCTTTGTCCTCGGTCTCTTCACTCACATCAGGATCGGTTGCCCCATTCAGCACCAACACCGCAGATCCAGACCCGCCACACCACCCAGCCAACGCGCACCTTGCCGTCTCCAAGCTCGCGGCGCTCCTCACGTTCGTGACAGACATGCGGACATCAAAGTGCCGGCTTCCCGCAGAGCACGTCTCATCGCACTTGGAGGGCGTGCCAGCGGAGGCGTGCTGGTATCTACCCGCGACGCGAGAGCAGTGGCGGCTCTCGGGCCGCATGTACATCGTGGGCGGCGAAAAGGAGACGTCCTCGTACCCGCCGTGGGCTCCCGTTGGGCCAGCGCGGTTCGAGGCGGAGCGGAAGAGGCTGTGGGGATCGCTATCGCCCGGGATGCGGGCGTCGTTTGCGATGCGCGGGCAGCCGGGTGCGCCGATCGAAACGTCTGGCCCTCTTGCTGAGGCAGAGAGGCAGGCTTCCGCGCTGCTGGGCGCCACGGGCGGTGGGTTGCCGAGCCTTCACACGGAGGATGCAAGGGCTGCAGCTCAAAACGAGCTGGTATCCCTGCACGACGAGGCGTACGGGCGGTTTGGGCTCGTTTTGCTGGACGTGGAGGAAGTGGATCACTTGGATCTCAAGCCGGGAGCGGCGCCAAGTTCTGGGCCATATGCGGTGAACGGCAGAGCGGGGAAGCGGACCGTGTACAGAATGAGCACGCCCGAGCGCAGCTACGGCCGTGCTTCCGGGTTGGTTTGGCACGAGCAGGAGGTGTATCCGTGATGTACTGAACTGTATGATGACGAGCGAATAAAACTGTGAATGGACCTTTTTGAGGCTGCGCCCCTCACGGCCAGCTTTCGGCCCGCCCTGCTTCCTGGCGAAACGATCCTCGCCACCCTCAAAGAGGTTGGCCTTTACGATGGGTACGCACTGCCTTGGTCAATGGCCCGAGCCTTCGTTCCATGCAGTCTCACGTTTTCTTCTGCCCGTCAGGAACGTCCGCCAGTCTCAGTTCGACTCTGGGATAGTCTACGCCACAACGCACCGCATCGTATGGGTTGACAACGCCAACAATACGGGCATGGCGATCCACCTCGAGCGCGTCCATTCGATCACAAGCCTGAGCGGATTCCCTGGGG